GGAAATATTGCGATGTGTTGCGTTCAATATAATTATGTCAAGAAAAAGTGTGGCCCAGAAGGCCGCGAAGATGGCATTGATGGTCTACGTTGCTTAGTGGCGCAATGACCATTTGATGGCCAAAAAAGCGACAGCACATGACATGAAAAGACGTTATTAGTTCGGCAGCAGTGCTCAGGGAATGCGTAGTTCTGACGCATAACGCACTGCTTTTGCAGTTTTTCCTGCCAAGTCTGTTTACCAAGCCTCGTGGGAACACTGCCGTTCCTTCAAGCTAACAAGCAAGGCACGCTGGCATCCGGTCATCGCTTCGGTGTTTCGCGCAGGCTGCATGACAGTCTAAACGTCAGTCACTTCGCTTCTGTGTCAACATAGGCATATGTTTCGCACCTCGTGTCGCTATCGAGCTGTACACACGAGAAGCGACCCCCATTCATCGTTAGCGCGGTATTGAGAGGCGATAGGCTTGGCTACATAACCAGTTTGTTTTTCTTGTGCTGCGACATATTTGATCAGTGTTCGCTGTAACGATCCGACAGACGAAGCGTATCCGTTGCGCTTACTAGAAGACAACTAAGTGGATGCTAAAATAAAATATGTGAAAGAGACTGAAGACATGAAGAACCCAACTCTGTGATAGCTGTTTGACCCCGCCAGCGGATTCTCCTGCAGCAGCGGTACCATAATTGCGAATGTCTCAGTACTTGAAGCGAAACCTGGTAGCTGCCTTTGGCGTTATGTGTGAACGAACTGCCGCTATCACCAATGGGGTGCGCATGTCTAACGTTGCAGATAAGCTCTGCGCGATGTGGAGTCCATGTAATGTTCAAAAAATTAGCTTATAATTACAGTGAACAGCAAAAAGTAAGCTTATGTAGCCGAATGTTCTCGCATTTCACCTATATCAAAATGCAAGGTCACTGGATTGAGTATCTGCATCGGTGACACAATTTAAATTGAGGTCAAATGCTTAAAGCCCGTGTACTTACGGAGCTATCCACTCGTCTCTCATGTACATATTGCTGTTCTCGAATCTCAAACAGCGACAATTGTTGTGATTATCAATTTGCGGTCACTACGGCTGGACGTCGAAAACCTCTCTTCGATCGTAGGAGCACAGCTTCTTTGCGGCTAAGCTAAATATGCAGATCACACTTGAATGCGCCGAGAGTAATGTAAAAAGAACGAACAAATTTCTAAGCTGAAGTATTGTTTACGAGGACAAGCGTGGGGATTCGAAGTGGAAACGGAAGCACGTTACCGGAAGTCGCATTCACGGGATCGCGGGGAGTGCTCAAGAAGCCATTACCGCAAGCCCCTGAAGGAGACGAATATAAATACAGGGTAAAATACAGGCGGATGTGTAGTTCTTTGTGAGTGAAGGAATGGTGGACAATGGGCGGTATGGGCCTATTGTTCGCTGACGATGCCAGTGCACCATTTTATAGAAATGACTGCTGCCTCCACGCAATAACTGTACGCTCAAGGAGGACAGAAGCAAGAGCTTTGGCTTGGACCATTTTACTTCGACCAACACTCGCTCAGCAGGAAATTCAGTCCCCCTGTTTTGATTATGTTCAAAGCCGAAAAAACAAGAAAAGGTAATGCCAAAATAGCATTCCACGTATATCGTAATATTTGGAGCAGCATGTCTTTAGTAGTATGAACAGTACTAAGTAGAATTGACGTCAGGAGCCGTCATGTGCCAATGAGACACAAACCTATGCATTACGTCACTGGTCCAGCCTAGTGTAAGTGAATAAAGCACGTGATGCTTTTCGTGAACATCATATTTGCTTGAACGTAACACGTTCTAGCACCACTGCTGGGCGTATACGTAAGACTCGAATGACTTTCGAACCCACAGTAATGCAGTTGTGTATAGTTTCTAGTTTCGATGAAGCTCTTATGTCCACCTGCGTAACGCCATTGATTTCAATACGATAAGTTTCACAGCGTCATAAGATGAAAGACTGAGGAGCAGCTCCACAAACCATCCGTTGGAAAGAAGGTAAGCTAAATTTACCCTGCAAATTTATCACTGTACTTACTGCACTATTCGCAATCAGAACAGAGCAAGACGAAAATTAAAGACAGAAGGTTATCTTCCAGGTATCTGTTTTGCTTTGTCTTGCCCTATTCATATTTATAGCAGTTCATACCCTTTCCTCCGAAGTGTCCAACTGGCTGATATTGAAAAGGCTGCTGTGGTATGGAAACAACAAAAAGAAAAGCAAAAGCCCATGTCATATTAGCGTTGCAACGAGTCACAACCAGGCTCAGGCTGATGGCGCGGGGTTTCACACCGAGAGATCAGCGCTATAAAGCGTGCTACAGACACAACAGTCGTACAGAAATGGCGAGCTCAAACGAGACAAGACGTGCTTGCGGAAAGCATGCAACTTACAGATGTACTCAATTACCATTTCAATTCATACTGAAATTCGCTTCTCCAGCCCAGCAATGTTTCATTTGTAGTACCTTACTAACCCTTCACCACAAGGTTGAATAAGCAGGAAGTTTCCAAACTCTGCAGCCATACGTAACTGAACTAAATGTAGCGTAAACATCTAAGGCTAACTGCAATGAGTCGATTCTACATGCAACATTTACCGTTTTTTAGGACGTGAGTTGTACGAAGATTGAGTAGCGCAAAAGACACGTTTTAGTAGAACAATCTGCCAGGCATTATAATAAGATACTATACGGCACGCACCTTTTTCCGTTCGCTCAATAAATTTGGGCTTGAAGACTTCAGCGCATGCCATTTCGCGTGCCTAAGTTCATGGTCGATGGCCGCGCCCAGTACATCACTTCCTTATCACACATGCTGACAACGGAAAAATGAATAGGTTCATCAAGCTGGCATCACGCAGCACAAATGTTATCGATAGTTTATCGGGGTATAAATCGCCTCCTTACAAGGAATCCTGTGCGCCATGCCACTCGGAATCAATTTCTCTTCCATCTTGTACGGCACAGTATAAAGCTTTACTGTGCAATGTCAGTGTGCGTCAAAGAACATCAGATGGCCGAAATTTGTGGAGCCCACCACTACGACGTCTCTCAAGCTCATATCACAGTTTCGGGACGTAAAACTCCAATTATTATTATTATTATTATTATTACTATTATTATTATTATTATAACAGTACAGTGCTGAGTAGCTAGTCGAGAAGAATAGCGAGGACCATTGACTCCTGATGGCGGTGTTGAACGTCAGAAATCGAGGGGAGAGAGGAGGCGCTAGATGCGCGCAGCTCTGATGCTTCAGTGTATCTTCTCCCTCCTTTAATTATCTGAAGGTGTTGGTGTCCACGCCGGTTATGGGAGCCTGTCAGAGCAGTTCTCCGGCGTGCAGCGATCACTTCCGATGGCACGTTCCTGCCAGGCGGGCTTTCAATTCTTTCATATCGCTTGATCACTTCACTCATTTTTCTTCGTAATTCTTGCAGATGTAAGATTCTGCCAACGCTTCTCCAGTTTTTCTGCTTGCGTAACTTCCATGTGGTTTGTTATGCGCATTCGCTGTAATTTATTTCCGCAACTCCATCTCTGTCCTGTGCACCACCTTCTAGCTTCAAGAGCTTCAGGAAGTCGCTTCTCTGTGATGCTTCAATTTCTCAAAGTACATTACCGCGTAATCATATCATTGAATCGTGATGATTCTATGGTTTTATTGACCTTTCTTCAAGTCGCAATGATTGACAAACTGTGTCAGACTTCCGCTTTGACTTCGAAAGTTATTGATTACGTTCTTAAGTGTATTATGACTGCTCGTTTTTACATTCTTTATTTCTGGAATGAAATTTTAGTTTTTTAGTAGCTTGGCAAATATTACCTAACCATGTTTTCCCAGTGCGCGTGTGTGCAATAAGATTACTTTGTTATATGTAACGGGTACATTCTAATTGATTGATATGCGGGGTTTAACGTCCCGAAACCACAATATGATTATGAGAGACGCCGTAGTGGGGGGCTCCAGAAATTTCCACCACCTGGGGTTCTTTAAGGTGCACCCAAATCTGAGGACACGGGCCTGACAATTTCCGCCTCCATCGGAAATGCAGCCACCGCCGGCGGCATTCGATCCCGCGACCGGCGGGTAAGCAGCCGAGTACCTTAGCCACTAGACCACCACGGCGGGGCACGTACATTCTAAAAAAAATGCGGTAGCACTGCACTAAAATATCCTCGCTGCGATTTCCCCGAAAATATTTTCGCATCTGGCCTCAATCAAAATGCGCCACCCCGGCCCTGATTGTACCGCGACATTAGGATTACTGGGCAATCCCCGTATTGCCTACACTACGGCGGACGTTTTCAAAACACAAGTCCCAAAGAGACAGAAATACTGCAGAGTTTTTTGTATACTTCCGCTGTCTGCTATTGCTCAAAGAATTCCGGTAAAGAAAACAAGAAGTTGAGCACAGATGCACTTCGTGATACTTTATATTAAGAACATGTGGGAACATTATGTGTGGAAGGTACAAGGTCAAAACTTCTGCTGATGATCAGAGGGTGGATCGAAGGAACTGACTACGAAGTATGCAAGGCCAAATGACATTAGTTATCGCTTCACTCACTGTTACGAAGATGTCACCAAAGATGTCAAGATCTTGTAGGACAAGCGACTAACGCTCACGATGGCTGCTTGTCCAGAGGTTCACTGTCTTCCAGAAGCAAGTAGCTGTAATCGCTAAAATGTTCGCCTGACACGTAGCCACCCTGGCCTACACTGTGCGACCTCGTCTTTCCATCTCCAGTGTTACAGTGGGTGAGCAAACTTTTAAAAGCACGTGAATTAGGGTTCCTCGATGCGCGCGCCCCCTTGCAGGGTGGAGACAACAGCGTCGTCTGCTACGGCGTCCGCCATTAGGATGCCCTCTCCGCAGGCCACCTATAGCCACGATAGGCAGCCAACGGGCGTCGCGCGGCTGCATGCAGAGTTCGTTGTGTCAAAACGAGTGGTACTCAAACAACATGACAAAAATACAAAGTTTTCGCATCGGGAGTGTCAAGGTCTCAGATTTCTATTCTCTAATCTTTATTTTTAAAGCGACATTAGCAGCTGGAGTTGTTCGCAGCAGAATACTACCGTCCACGCCAGCCACGTTAACATCTTCAGTTAGCATCTTCTTGGGCTAGTCGGTAACTATTTATACTGGTTAAAGATGCGAAACACACGCACTTCTCTTCCGACAATTCAACATGGGTTGCGGAAAGTGGGCATGCAACTAGCTGAGAATCATCTGTTGTAGGAACTTCAGTTTCTGCCGTGGCACTTGGGCTAGGTAAGTTGCTCATCTGATCACGAGACATCTCCGTGCCATCACTCGGTAGTGGCTGCAATTCTTGATTTGCTGTTTGTTGCATACCAGCTATGTCGTTGACATGTTCTTGAATTTCTGTCGCTGAGGTATCAGAAGCATGGGGTTGACTGTGCAGAGAACAACTTTCTTCTGCGGCCGCAGGCGTCCGTTGTGGTAAAAACCTTTCTTTTGGTGGCTTCCTGTGCTTAGGCATCGCTAAAAAAAACACACATATGTTGCATATCAGCTGGCAGATTCTTTTATCATTATGAACGAACATGCTCTGAGCATCGCTACGCATAGAAATAAAAATAAACAAAGTGCGAAGTTGTCATTATCCTGCTTCTGGATGACAGGTGCGGTTAATTCACCTCTCGATAAAAATGGAGGAAACGAGCGATTTCATTGACCGAAGGTATTAAGAGCGTTTTTCTCTAATGTGCGTTTTTTTCTGTTTTTAAAGAAACACCTGGTTAGACCCTCCATGTGACTCTTAAGAAGGCCGGCAATAACAGTGCTAAACGTGGAACTGACTAAGATTGGAACAAGGAACAAAATTAGGAAGCAAACTCGCAAACTTCCGTTAACGCGAAAATAAGTGGATTCCTACCTCTGAACGAAAAGATTGTTGGCAGAGCATTCGGCTTCAATTTTTTCTAGCCGTCCGCACGGTTCTGCTCAAATGCGGTTTCTTCGAAATGTCCCTGCAGCGCGGAAACACGCGATGATCAGGTCTCAAAGATCTTCACAAAAACCTTCTAAGCAGACCACAACAGCCAACACCTTCAGGGACATGCGTAAAGAGTGATAAGGGAATTTTAGGGGTTGTTGTAGTTGGAGCTAATAATAAAGAAGGGAAAATTGTCAATTTCTTTCTGAAAAAACAGGGACAGTGAGAAAATATTATTTGATAATGAACTAACGGGATGCGTGCTTTCAATGTGATGTTACAAAAACAAATTGTTGAAGGCGCCGGTAGCAACAAGCGACAACGTAGGCGCACATCTCTGCGCAATTGCAGCTTGTGTACAACAAGCGATCAAGAACAACGCATTTTGTGCTATCCAAAATGAACAATACGCATGTACATAGCATGCAGATGAACGAGTATTGCACCCGGTGCACTGGTGATGGCGATTAAGCCCGATCGGGGTCAGATTTCTGAACAGTCATTGGCGTCCTTCTGCACCAAAAGCCTTTCACATGAGTAACCAACAAGCCCACGTTGCAACCCTCATCGACTACAGTCCTTCTGCAGCTTGCGTATAAGGGAGTCAATCACATCAGGCTCGATCGCGATCAAAAATGCTGAAATGGCATAACTTACGCTGCACAAACACGAACGGTCCGTGGGTTGCCACTTGTCGCGCTTGATCTTTACCAGCCACAGGAGTCGCCTTTTCGGATCTTTCGGAAATCTGAACATCCTATAGCCATTTCGCGAGTGGTTTGTGCACTGTGGCACGCAACACCCGGGCATTTTGCCCGAGAAAACGCTATAAAACGCCGCGCACCTGTCTCACACAAACCAGACGCGACGGGGCTAGCACACTCTAGCGAGGCGGGGGGGAGCCGAATGGCGGCCGCCGATCGGAAGGCGGCATTCACCCCCTCACAGAATGACTCCACCCTCCAAGGCGGCGGAGGGGAGAGCGCGCATCGAGGAACCCTAACGTGAATACAACCGCAGCGCCATCTCAAAAAATGATATTCTCGCGTCAAAAGAGCACACGTGCGCAATCCTGCGTTTACCGCTCGCCAGACAGTGGCCGGCGCAGTCAAATACGCCGCGTTGGTTATGAATTGCCGAAAATTTATCCCTTGCATATATCAACACGTCGAACAAACAGAAGTTTTCCCCCTCTAAGGTAACAATGTGGTACCCATGAACTCGCACCGAAAAAAAAAGTCAAAACCTCGACGCATTTATCTTCCCTACAACTTCAGTCAACAGCTGGTCAGGTAACATTGCGATTGCAGTTACCACTTATTTTATAAAATATTCCTTTACTCAGCGCTCCGCCTTGACTCGAAAATGCCGATGGGAGATCTACACTTGCGAAAAAAATGGTCATTGCATATGAGCGAAAAGCCGGTGCCTTTCCTGAGAACTACAGTCACTTTAAGTCAAGTGGTGGCACTTTGCTCCGCTCGGTCAAATAAAGCGTGGAACTTGAATCAAGGGTTGTTTCAGAATATCAGGGCTAGCTTTGTTTCACCTTGTAGGCAATGTGTCGTAGCGGCTCAAGCGCGGCTCGGCCATGCTTGAACGGTGGTGCACGCTGTTCTGTGTTTCTGCATCAGTGCTGACTTCATGGGTGCTCCAGCAGCGTATCCGTGGCTTTAGCGCACTACGACTGTGACAACGGGACATACCAGAGCAGCACGATTCATGGGTCCGGGCTATAGCTTGTAGGGCGCGTTAGGTCGCCTGCCAGCCGCCACGCTGGTCTTCAGTTCGGACATATTGAAAATTCTGTGATTACGTTTTGCTGCTTTGGTAAACCGAAAAGGGCCTTCTCACAGCACAGTGCGCATGCTCAACGGAAACAAGCGATCGCCGTATATTCTCGGGCCAGGCTCGGTGCTTGCAGCTTACACGCTATAGATCGTAAATGGGGGGAGGGGGAGTGAAGCAAGCGTTACCGGCGTTATCGCGTGACGTTTCCGGCTATCTCATTCGGTGCCTAGCGCATCGGAAACGTAGATCTAGTCACGGGCACACTGGACGGCCATAATTTGGTCCTGAAGTTCTGGGCTGTGCAGAAGCGCATCCCACTCGGATTTGCTATAAGTCGATCCAAGCGACCCGCACTCCCAGAGCACGTGTGCTAACGTAGCGGTCTCCCCACAAGCGGCGCAGGAGGCATCGGGGAATTTGTGAGGATAAATTGCATTTAGGTATGCTAACGACAGGTACGAATGGGTTTGAAGTAAGCGTAACGAGACGGCCTGTGCTCTATTGAGTTTTGAATGCGGCATTGGGAATGCCCGCCTCGCCATGTAGCATTCCTCGTCATCAGCGGCCGCACAAAGTGCACAAAATGTTTTACGGCCATGTAGTGGGTGCCATGGTTCTTCGTTGAGTGACAACGAAAAGGGGGGGGGGCAGAACGTGCTGCTCCAAGTACTGAAAAAATTAACCTACTACTCGACCAATCGCCTGGAGGTGGATAAGAGTCATAAGATAAGGAGACGTGGAAGAAAAAGAAGAAGCTCTGTCTGCATTCGCGGCGACTGTCGAACTGTCTGCTCTATGAATTTTTTATTTATTAGCTACGTTTTTATTCTAGTATAAAGTTACAGGATTTGTTTTTCAGCTTCATAGGTGCTACCGCTATTATGCCCTATAGCACCATTTCGACGCTGCATCTGTCATTGATGTGGACATTGAAAATAAGCCACAATGCCCAAAAACGATATAAAAAAAGAAAGGACTCATCCTCACCCCGTCTTCACTTCCGCAAAACCGAAAATGGTTATTCAGGGTCAGAAAATTGCAACGATCCATGTAGTCAGACTTTTATCTATATAACTCTCTCTTTTCTTCTCTCTCTCTTTCTATTGAACAATTTCCCGTCCCTCCTGACGACCCAATCTTTCGAAATATCGTGTCTACATTTACCAAAAAAAGGCTTCAATCAAGCTGAGTGAGCATATTCTCCCTAAAAAGTGACAAAACCTACTCACTAACCCAATAAATCACAGCGGGACCCACGCTGTGATGGTTCGCTGAAATTGATTTTGACTCGTTCTGAAGGGATACAAAGGTGGCTTTCTTGCTTTCGACATCGTCACTTAACTTGGTTCTCTCCCAACCGGGATTTCACTTGCGCAGCTGCCTTGTATACGAAAGAGTACATTGTTTGACCTCACTCACAGTTTATCTCTCCGAAACTTCACATCTTCAAAAATACGAGCCACCCTTTCCACTGGTCCACCACTTTCATTCATTTGTTCCCTTAAATGCTGTCCACACAAGATTACCGCTTTGTACTGCGTCTCTGATTTTACTGCCGCCACGAATCTGCTGATTAATCAAGCCGCGGGAACAGTACGTTCAAGTTCCTCCCAACTATTAACTGAGGTAATTAGACTTTCGTGCAAGATAATTAAAAGGGGAGAGACACAGATAGGAGTCGAGTGAGGGAGGGAGAACCATTACGACGTACTCTAACTAAATACTGTACTTTGCATGAAAGGCAGACGTGGAGCTTCCTACTGAACCAAGCATTTGTGATTGCCGTACATCTGAATGTCCAGCAGATTGGCGATACGTTCAGGAGCATGCGAACAAAATGTTGAAGTAGGCTTTCACCTAGGATGACTTTCACCTAAGCGCTTGTCTGTGTCCTCTAAAGTGTGTGTGTGTGTTTTTTTGTGCTTGTTTCATCATGAGGCTTTCGCCTTGCTCACATGGAAAGAGCAGCGCAAATACTCGGGAAAAAAGAAGGGCAGTCTTTACTGGCCTTCTTTTTTCCCGAGTTTTTGCGCTGCCTTTTCCATGTGAGCACTATGAACCAACTAGCCCAAACCAAAGTGCTTTCACCTTCACATTGTTGAAAAGGGCTAAGATATTTATAGACTTACTTTAACTTCTTCGATGTCTGAGAGGACGAATTACGCAAAAGGTCCAGCCTTTGTTATATTACACGGGTCAATAGACAATTAGGTAATCGGTCGAATTGTTGGCATACCACTTTTTATGATTACAAAGTAGGTTTTTTATTGATTGGCTGACTGGTTGAAAGTCAGGCGATGCAAGTGGTGGCTAATTAGGGATTTAGCAATTTGTAGGCGCTTCTTCCGAGCGGAGATGAACACCAACAACACAAGAATAATAATAATAATAATAATAATAATAATAATAATAATAATAATAATAATATTATAATGGTCACTTGCGCACTCACCTAAGATCACTCGAAGGCACAAACCACTTTGTTTTCGTCTTCTTCATCAATTCATTGTATTGATCACGCCTCCCTCGAAAGATTGCTATTTCATCTTTCACGTCCGCATTATGCTCGTGACATGTAAACTAAGACAGTTCCAGTTTTATTGAAAGAAATATTAAGTTTTCGGGTCCATTCACGAATGTCACTCTTGGGGATGTCTCGTCACGCGAGGACGTCCCTGATCGGTGACGAGTGAAAAGCGGAAATCACCGTACACCTCATGACTAAATCGTATTACCATGCGGCCCTGCTAATTCCGAATGTACCCCGCAAGTAGGATAATTACCCTACGGTTGGAAACCCGTTTCAGCAGTGCTATTGTTGCATATAACGCGGTATACTGAAGATGACGTGACCGCTTCTGCTCAGAATCTCAAGAAGCACTGCGGCCACAGCCTGTGTTTCATGGCCTAAATGTGCTATTTTTGCTTACTTTTGAAAACTCTCAAATCTTTTTTTTTTTGTAGTTAAGCATGGATCAAACGGTCTTTACATGCTCTTAAGTGATTTTTAAAAAATAGTGCGTGTATACCAGCTTATTTTTAACAGGAATTCAAGCTGAGGAATACTGGCGCTCTGTGGATTTACGCCCACCGAAGCGCGCCCGTAGTAAGCTGGAATGAAAACCACTTGCTCGAGCATAGCAGCGTGATATACGGGCTCACTAAGTTTTCACGGCAGCCCTTGCCACACATCCAAAATTAATCTCAAGCCTACGGCAACCAGTGTGAGAGACCCCGTGGCTGCAATCTGCCTGCGGGAGAAGCAATGATATGATTTACAAAAATGCAACGACTTCTTTCTTTCACGTCGCCTCGGCGTAGGGTTTGTGTACGCTGTTCTCCCGAAGCTTTGCTGGTAAAACGAAGTCCACCATACTCGCGCATAATAAACGACAAAAGAAACTCGCGTTACCTAGAACATGGCAAGAATGATGACCCGGAAGTCTGACTTTGCCTCTTCGAGCAAACGGGTCCTAACGTGATGTTAAGACTATTAGGAGAAGAATGCATGGCACAAAAATCTTTTAATTAGGGGCATGGAAGATGCATGCTCTCTGTAGGCTGTTCTTTGAAGCCGTGGATGCGTATCGCAGCAAGCCCTAATCCGCTTAGCCTAAGCTTCAGCAGAAATACGTGTAAGTTAACACAGTCCGATTCTCTCATATGGCGGTGGCCATTAGATTCAAATACGGTTTCAATTGTTTAATGCTGACATTGCGAATGCAACCTTGAAAACTGACATTTCGAAGTGGGCTGTTACAACTTTCTTACTTCATAATACCTCCGTCGCACGAGAAAGCTTAACGTCATTTTTTCCTAATAATATAATGCCACGCTGTGTTGGTGGCGGAAGAGGAAAGCGAAGAAGTGACTGGCTGCTGTGGTGGAGTAAACAGTCGTCCACTTCGAGTTCCTGTCTATCGTTTCCTCTCGCGACAACATATATTTAATGAATTTACTTGGCCTCCATACACGGACCTTAAATGCTATTAAGCCACAAGAGCTTGTCCAAGAGAATCTGTTCCCTGAAGCCATTCGAATGCCTTTCTGACGTGAGCCAGTACTATTGCCTGACAGAGCCTGCATACATATGCAGAATGAGAAGTGAATAACTCAATCTACGATGATAACAACGAAAAGTAACAGATCGTTATTATTTGGTCTAACAACAAAAAAGAGACTTTAAATTTACACTTCTATCCTTC